GGTTGCCCCTTGTAGGTAACTTTTTGTTTTTCCCATGCTGCTCTCATGATTCTTTCTTTGTCTTTGGTTTTGGTGAGTTTGCTGATGATATGTCTTGGTGTTTTTCTTTTGGGGTCTATCCTATCTTTTGGGGTTTGTTGGACTTCCTGAATGGATATGTTTTCATCTTTCATCATATTAGGGAAGTTTTTCTCCAACAAATCTTGGGCAATTTTCTCAGTGGTTTCATTTTTCTCTTCCTGTTCTGTAATTCCAGTGACACGTAGGTTATTCCTTTTGATGGTATCCCCATGAAGCTTAGGCTTTCTTCATTTTGTTTTGATCTTTTTTTCTGATTGATCCTTTTCCAAAGAAGTATTCAGGTATTTGTCTTCAATCTCATTGATGCTGTCTTCCATTGCATCAGTTTCTACTCCTTTGCCCTTCCATTGTGTTATCTGTTTCTGACAATTTTGTATTAATCTTCTGGATTTCGATCTGTAGATTTAGAATCATTTCTAATTTTTCATTTATTTTGTCATTTTTTCTTGTATTTTCTTCTGAATTTCTTCTAGGGGTTTGTCTGTGTTTTCCTTGGTCTGTCTCTCACTCCTTTGAAGGTATCTAAATATAATTCTTTTGAATTTCTTATCAGGGAGTTCCAATGCTGCATCTTCCTCAGGGATGTGTTTTGGGTCTGTATCCTGCTCCCTTGTTTCTCTTGCTTTATCTTGCTTCTTTGTGTGGACTGTGATGCTCTGTTGTCTCCAAGGCACTGTGATTTTTTGTGTTTATATTTACTTGGTGATTATATCTTGGAGTTACTTGCCCAATACTTTCATTTTCTTTCTTTTTTTTTTTTTGTCTGTATGTTATCTATACAGGCAGGATACTGTGCTGTGCTCCTCTATTCACTAGTTGACAGCACTTACACACTCACCACCTATCTCCTTCCCTTTGTCAGCTTCTCATATATCCTTGCTGACCCTGGCAAACAGTGTCGGTTCTTAGGTCCCTGGAATCCAAATGAAAATGTGGCTGTGCCCTCAGTCACTTTAAATATCTGAAATGGCCACCGCCTGTATACCTTCAAAATGATTGCACCCTTGGTCACTTTAAATATCCAAAATGGCCACCACTTGTTCACATTCAAAATGTCTGCACCCTGGTCACCCTAAATATCCCAAATGGCTGCCATGTGTAAACAATGAAAATGGCTGCACCCTCCAGAGAGCAAAAAGTCCACAGCTCAGGTTGTCTCCCTCCTTGCTGTTTCCCTTCTAGTCATAGGCCACCAGAGCAGTTGTCCCTGCAGCCTTTGGTGACTGGGTCAATTCTCAGGTCCCAACACCACTTGGAAGTATTCAGGCTTTTGGTCTCGTTAGAGTAGCTAACAATTTGCAGCTCTGACCATCTCTGTCCTCACTGTTTTTGTTCAGGTTTTTCCACTAGTTTGTACCTAATCCACTTCTGTATAGTTCCTTTCAAAGCTTGGGGTTCCAGGATTATCTTCTGTATCTCTGTCAATTGGTTTTTCTTGTCTTTGTTGAATAAGGTCTGTGTCACTTGTCTACCTATTCCTCCATCTTTCCAGAAGTCCCGTTTCTTATATTCTTATCTGAAACTGTGTGTCATTGTGTAGAAGATAACGGCATTTTTTTTTTTTAATTTTTTTTCTTAACCTTTTACAATAATGAACTAATATAATATTTGTCCTTTGATACAGTATCTCTTTTTTTCTTTAATTTTATTTTGATTTGGGTGAAGATTTACAGAGTAAATTCACTTTTCATACAGCAGTTCACATA